AACAGTTTCCAACCCATGGTGGGTGTTCACACTGTACAAATCATTCCTCAAGCCAAGAGCATGCCAATCACCACCAGTGTCAAGCACCCTGCCAACAATATCGCACCAGAGCGGTCCGCAAAGTCCTGCGTGGTGGAACCCAACTCCGGCGCCCGATGTTCGACGACCGGCGCCCGGCCCGGGCGACGTGATGGGAGAGAGACATCCTTCAAGCGAGGACGTGAAGCCGATTGGACTGAGAGACTCGGACTTCCAAGCGATTAAGGTCCACATTGCATGGGACGGTTTTTGGGGCTGTTTCAAAGCATGTCAATCTAATCCATAGTCCAGCAGCCTGCAACATCCTTTAACAGCACTTGGCAACTGCCTTCAGTAGACTGACCATCTCCAAGGTTTGTGAATAGTCTTCTTCCACCAACAAATCTAGACCGCAGCAGACAATGCAGACATGCCGCTTCACAAACAAACATAATTTGTTGAGTCAAGATCTACTTTGAATCGTATGCATGCGAACAGAAGTTGTATGCGATGTCACCTGCAAAATCATGCAAAATCTCTGGGCTGAGCTGCTGGGGTTTCTAGTGTTGGCAGGCATCCATGAATCGTGAAACTTCCACCAACACTACCCTCCCCAGGTGATACGACCCAACGACTAGGCACGGAACGCTTCCATTCATCCACCTTCGCACGACGAGCCCCGCTCCTCCAGCTTCGCGGTCTGGCCTCGGCGAGCGGGTGCTGCGCGACCGGATGGATCAGACGAGCGAACGCGCGGGGAGCGACGGGCGAAAGAGGCGTGACCGAAACTGAAGTCCTCGAAGGTTGCCGCAACGACGCTCTTCGTTGGAGCTCGGAGAGAAACTGGAGAAAAACCCGGATGAATGGCCGATGTGCGATGGAAGGGTCCATCACAGCAGTGGCTTTTGCGATTTCGCAATAGCATGTTGAGTTGGGGACATCCGGGCAACCTTCGACAAAAGTCTTTACAAACACTCATGTCTTCCAAGCAGGCAGTCTTTGCGAATCCTTCCGGAGGGATGGGCGACGTCCGAGTCGCTCACACCACGCCCCTGGTTGCCCATGCATGGGCATGGGGTTTCGATTTTGATAGGTGGACCTCCCAAGGAAGGGGATCATTATTGGATGTGATTGGGAGGTCTCCGTATTTTAATACACAGTCACACCCACATGTTGTGATTTGCTCCCGGTGGGTCGGCCGGTCGCGGCCAAACGGAATTGGAGATCCCAACAGACGTTGCATCACTCAAATGCGCATGGGTGAAGACCAAGCAAAACCCCCAACTCATGGTGGACATGCGAGGGAGGTCGTCGTTTTGCTCATGTTCAGACAACCAGAGTTTTGAGGGATTTTCACCCACAGCTACAGCAAGGAACCCACACCCAGCATCACCCAGCCACGGACCGGCCTCCTTCTCTGAAGGCACGGTTGCGACGGACCTGCTTCACCACGGCATGGATCAAGATGAGCAGGGAGGCAAAGCTCACCTTGGGGGGCCCAAAAGCGCCCAAAGAAAGCCGAGAAAGATCGTGGCACTGCCATCGGGCAAGCTACTAGTAACAAAGGGCATCACTTTCTTCACGGAGCAAGAACGCTACTACAAACAGGGGCTCTCCTGGCAGCTACAAACGGAGCAAGTATAGCTACTAGTACTACTTAGTAACAAGAAGCTGGAAAACTCCGAGAAGCCAGAACTCCTGCTTGTTATAGCTACTCCTACTACTCCTTGTTCGTGGTCGTGAGAATCGACAGCCCAGAACTCCTTCTTTTCGTCCGCATCTCGACGATCCCGACGTGCTTCGCACGGTGGGGACCGTGGGAGACCGGTTCGCAGAGGCGGAACCGGCTTCACTTGCGGAACGAGCTCTTGCGTTTTTCTGGTGTTTTGCTCTTGGTTTGCTGATAGATCGCAAGGGACTAAGGGTTGATGGAGAGCCCTATGCCATGGTCCTGATGTGTCACCCACTGTCGACTGCAACTAGGGCGTTCAACGACAAACACACCTTACCAAGGTATCTGCTCCCACGAAGAGTTTCCAGTGACCAAGCCTCATCGTTGACACAACAGAAGAGGCAAATAAGGAATTTGGTACACTGTGGTACACTTGCTATATATGGTGTAATTGTAGTTTTTAGTTGATGAGTACCACACTATACCACAATATCAAAGCACCATGTTCATCCATGTTCTTTTTCCTCCTTCTTTTCTGTGCTAGGGTTTCTTGCGGTTGTGGCTCTGGCGTCAAAGCTCCTCCACCCTCCAGCTGATCTTTTTGCCCAGCCACCACCAGTCCAGAGATCGACACCTCTGTGCTCTGACCGCTCGTCAGAAGGACCTGGTGGGCAAAGGAATACGACAAGTCAGAGGGTTTGATTTCACGAATCTTGGAGACTTCTCCACTACTTCACTGGTTCTTCTTCCTTACCTTGACCAACACCTTTACAAAACAACCTTGCGAACGCTTCATTCCTTCTTTCACATTAAGGGCATTCTACTGGGCGGCTGCCGAGCGGCCGCACGAGCAGCGCTCCTTTGGGTCTGCGCAAAAGGCCGGTGCCAGGTGGCCAGGCTTGAGGTGTTTGGAAAACCCGGTGGTGACCAGGCTTGAGGTGTTTCTTCAAGAAAAGGAATTGCAATGTTTTTTTTCTGGTCAGACTTGGTTGAGCAAACCAAGATACAAAGCCCTGATGTAGACTCACTAACTCGGGGGAGAAAAGGTCTCCTCCTCCTCCTCCCCCTCCTCCATGCGATGCAGCGAAAGCATCAGACCTTTCCCTGAATGAGCTTGGAAGACTGAGGGTCCATCAGTTTCAATTATATGTGTATGTTGACCTAAATAGCGATGGCGTCCAACCTATGTGTATGTTATTGGTGTTTTAAGTTTAAAGGCAATCTCTTTTTGAGACTCCGACTGCAGATGCTGCCGCAAAGACTGTGGCCAGCTTGGCCTCACGCAGAAAAGACATCTTGGAAAGCTTGGTTAAGAGGGTGGGGTTCATCGACAAGAAAGGGGCTTATCCAGAGATTCAACAACGACGACAGCAACAACAGGCTATCGTCTTGAGGATGTGTTTGCTTTGAGTCAGGGACACCTTGGTAGGGTGGATCAATGAGAAAGGCTCTCGTCTCGTACACTGTGAGGAAATTCAGCAAGCCAATGGGCAAAATGGTGTTGATTTCTGCAACCAATTGGGAAGAAACCGCATCCAATGCATGTTTAGAGGTTCAAGGGATTCATCTGGCCGTGTCACGAGCTTGACCATGTTCCAAGATCATAGGAGTTCCTCAGAACCAACGCGTTGTTCCATCGAACCACCCCCAAAAATATTTCGCCTCTCCGGAGATTCTCCGTGGAATCTGCGCTGTCACGGTTTCTCCGGAGACTGGGGCGTCCAAGCCCAGTGAATGAAGGTGCGCTCGGTGGAGAACCACACCTGAGTGGCCCAGCTGTTGCAAAAATATCCTACCGAGTTCGTATATCCAACTCTTTGCAGTGTAGTCTTGCATCGTGCGCAGATATGCTAGGTGCAGGATGTCTTTCATGAACTGGAACAGTTTGGGTGACTTACAAAAGCTGGGTTATGTATATCTATATGCAAAAATACAGTTTCTTTTGCTGACCTGGAACTGTTGGGGTGATCGGGTTCTGATCAACTGTCAAGAAGGTCCATGCTGGGTTCTGACCAAAGTGCCCTGTTGATTTGTGCTGCTCATCCTTACAAAAATCATCCACCCAGCATCCACCCCGAATTGTGGGTTCACCCGAAAAAGCTGGGTGTTGGTCAGGTACTCCAGGTACTAAACCAGCATAGTCTTGGCAAGTCTTTACCCACTTGGCAAGCTTTTGACCCAAATGACTCCCCCAACCCGCATGGCGTCTACACATGGCACGTGCGCCTTTGGTTCCAGCTTCACCACCACCATGGTGTTACGCCGCACCGCTGGTGCCCTGGTTTCGTGGTTCTCTCGGAATCTGGAGCTGAAAAAAAGAAGCATTGCACTGTGAAGGACTTCGTGGCCTGTTTTTCGAGTCTGTGGCAGATGCGTTGTCTGCGATCCTTGAACCAATTTCACGAGGCATCATGGGATCAGCACAAACTGGAAAACGCTGCCATCACCCGTGACTTCCTTCTCCAAGGAGCTTTCCGATGGCCATGTTTGTATCGGATAGAACCAAGCTTTGGCCTGAGGAGCTATCACTTATCATATACTTACATATCCTTATATAAGACTTCCTTTAAAGTCCTTTGCAAGCACCTGGTATCATATGCCAAGTAGGCGGCCCCAAGTGAGGATGCAGTTGGGACTCGTCTTTGATATCCATCCACCACGGATTCATCGTTCAACAAATAGCGGCTGCAGCAAGGACCCGTTCACCCTATGAACCGTGGCGGGCGGGTCCAGCGCACCTAACAAACTCCCAGTGTTTGGTACTTCCAGTGAACGGACGACACTGCAAAAGAAGAAATGCGGGATTGATAGAGCCAACTTCTACATGAAGACCTTCCACTCTTTGATCTTCTTATTGTACAGGTCAATCCCTTTCCTTTGAGCTCCAGTTACCCCAGTATCTCTCCCCTTCTTTTTCGCTCATCGTAGGTCGCGAATGGGATAGGAACGCCACTCTTCACCTGGGCGACAACATGTTTTTTCCAGGTCTCAACGATCCATTCACCAGGTCGAGATGGAGTTCACGCATCTCCCCAGCATTGTAGGGAAGACCCTCGTTGCGGAGTGCAACAACACAAAACACATGGAAAAAAGGACCAGTCTTGACTCAGCATCTATTCCCTGCGCGTAAAAACTCGGTTGTTCAAGGTTTAACGTTTCACGGTTCAAGCGGGACTCGCTAGGCACAGACGAGAAATCATTGTCAAATGGAACATGAAGGAAGATCAGGATCAAACAACAATACGCTCCGTATGATCCTCTTTTCAAACATTTCTTAGCTCTATCTGCTTTGCAGTGTGAAGCGATTATATCAAAATGGCACTTCCCACGAAACTCTGCATGAAAAATCCCCACCGGTCGCTTCCAGCCAAGCGAAGAAAGGTTCAGGTCCGGATGAAAGACATGCTGAGCCGAAGGAACAGCCAGTGTTCCTTCGCCCGGTCCTCCGCTCGGACTGAGACTCCCGACCCCTCGGTGCCTCCCACGGGGAGGGACGCCCAGCAGCTGGGACGCCCGCTAAGGGCCCCAAGTAGTCGCAGACCACCTGGAGAGCGGTGTCCACCCCGTAGGAGAGAAACGACTGGGCTGGTATGCCATGGTGGCTGGGGGTGTTCAACCAACGAGGCTCTGGAGGATGAATGCTAGGTGAGCCTGGCAGTGCCACACAGTGCCGGCTTTTCGGTTGGCATCTGTTTGATCTGTAGTGCCCAAATAGATCCAGACCTTGATAAAAGTCAATGTTCCATCCATCTTGGGATTACGATGTCATCCATGTGTATATATATATATATATATCCTGTGGAAGATGATTTCTTTAAGACCTATTCCTCTAGACTCTAGACCTCATCCATACGCACGCCTGCCAATCCTCGATGGTGGATTCCAGAAATTCATTCAAGCTGTAGTTCGTGGTCTTGTACCGCTCGCTCACCTGGGCACGTGAGACCTCGCGCCTCAAAGCCTAGACGAGGGACCTCATCGGAGGTAGACGGTGGGAGGAGAAAATGGACAAAGGTCCCAAGAAGAAACCCTATGTAAGGCATTGTTCTACCTGGAGAAGATGAGTCTCCATCATGGTTCCCATTCTTTTCCACAAACAAGTGGCCAACTCCACTGGAACCTTTTCCCACCAACCCCTGGTCTCGAACATCTTCCACTTTTGTTCAACCTTTGTGCGGAACAAGGGGATTGGATCGGATTGGATGTTGTGAGGGCACACGCCGGGTCAAAACATGTCATTATGCTCATTGTACAGTACTAGTTTACACAACAGTTTCTGCCTTGGTTTCCGTATGTGTCATGGTTCAAGCCAGCCTGTTGGATGTGTATGTGTCATTCATTTTGACAACAGTTATATATAATACTATAGGTATAGCGACTGTCTACTTCGTATCTGTTTCTTCAAGGTAGCACTCATGTTGCACGCTCCTGGGCTTCAGAATCAGAGGACTGACGGCATGAAACTGTGCACATGGGGTTCCCTCGAAGGCTGCTAAAGCCGTAGATTCTCGTTCAATGTGAAAATTGTTCTCCAACCCACATCCACATTCCTGAAATGCAAGACATCTACACCACGTACTTCTTGTAGATGGCAGTTCCAGAATGCATTTGGAACTATCATGAATTTCCAACATCAAAGACATGTGGGGGTGGAAAAAAGGAGAAACAGGTTCCCGCCAACAATACCAATCCAAGCCGTTTCTGGGACTCTCCCATGATTGAACTCCTGAGGGAAGAACCTGGACTGCCACCCGGAATATGACATCCTCCCCACAGTTCCCGGTTCTTGTTCCATGTCGATGCAGGGTCTATTTTCGAGACCCCAACAGGTTGCAGCATCGAAAAAAACAATGCACTGGTCGAAAACCAGGCCAGGAGCACCGTGGTATGCCAGCAGTACACAGGAGAGCCCGGCTTCACACAGTTGTCTGCCACGATGCCTAGGAGATGTTGACGACACGGTCTTAGCAAAATGACCACACAAAAAATATATACCTTACTTTACACCTTTCCAAACATATATTTTTTATATACATACAATTTTCATACCATCATATATGAACATACTCCAGTGCAGCTAGCTCACATGAGCATCCAGCTACCTCCGGCACTTGGACCCAGCATTGCGCCACAAAATGAGCCTATCCTGGGCCTACATTCCGATTAAAACAGCCAAGTCCAACCTTTTCTGGGAACAAAGAAAGCACCGCCCAAGGACCACAAGGACCAAGGTTGGGCGTCTCCCAAGCAATCTCCAGCATCTCCCGACCTCCACCCGGTTCCGCGACCTCAGCGGCGCAAGGTTCCTCTCCGCGTCCCGGTTCCGCCCAGGTCGGTCTGGACGTTCGGTGAACGCGGCCCAGGCGCGGCAGTTGGGAAACATCAAGCTCAGCTCTTCCAGCTGCGAAAGGTCATCGTGGAAGGTGGTCCCCCGCTGATCCATGAAGACCATGTTCAACGACATCTCCCCATGCTCCTGGATGAGGCAGAGAAGAACTGCAACCCAAAAAACGACGCTGAGTGCTTTTTGAGAACTTTTGGACACACTGAACTTACTTCAGCGAAAAGATGACGGGGTGTTGGTTGCACGTGACAAGGCGGAGCTTTTGTGGTTTGTGGTTTTAAGAGTTGGATCGTTTATTGCTGGTCATCGACGAGTCATCCATTTGCCCCCCAAATGACGACGTTTCGGGTTCCGCAGATGGAGCTTGTTACAATGAAAGACTCTTTCTGGAAAGTTCAAAATTGAGAACCGCTTCCCTCGAAAAGCCAAATCCAACTGGTGTGACAAAGTGAGACCTGGACACGAAACGAAGAAAAAACATGGACTACTAGTAGCAAAAAGCTACTAGGGTGGAGGCCATTACTACTAGTAAGAAGGACCCAAGTACCTGTCTTTTTTCCTCTGCAGTGAGACAGATGTCGCACCCATGCAGCCTGGCCATGCCTGTGGTCGGCTCAGGCTTTTTTGCAGGGGAGTCTGGATCGTTCAAAGAGTCAGGGAGTCGGGGTCCTGCATTTCTGCACGTTTCCTCGCTCGCAGTGCCAGTAATTGGCAAGCAGCTGTCAAAAGGCCGCGAAGAATAATTGAAAAATAGAAAACACATGAGTTGCAATGACCCAATCTTGCAGTGATGTGGTGGTGTATGGTGGTGTTGCACGATGGGGTACTTGCAGCTGAAAACCCCACACCATTTTTCCATTTCCATTTCCATGAACGCTTAGTGCTCGGTACAAGCTCAGCGTCTTGCTGATGTGAATTCGCTAATTTCATGCATGGAAGTAGTCAGGACCAGGTTCACAAAGCTGTTGGTCTTCGAACTCTAAGACCAAGCTTCTGAGCCACTTCGTGGACTCGGTGAATGTCATGGTCCTGCTTGGTTGGTTTTCCATCCATAATCTGAAAAGGTTGGCCCCAAAGGAACAAAATTCAGGCGGGTACTCCTTGAGGTGACTGGTTCGCCATTTACCCTTATTCAGACCGATGTTGGAGCCCTTCGCACACGTCGCGCTGCGCATTGCGCGTTCGCAGTGTTGTGCTCTGGCGAGCTCGACTCCGGACAGCATCAAGGTGGTGGGTTTCGGGCTGTCTGCTCCGAAAAAACCCTGCAACACATCAAGAAACACAAAAAGATTAGTTTCTTGAAACCACCGGATGATTTGGGTCATCCAAATGGATGGGGCCTTTTTGCGTCGCGTTCCACCTGTGTGTGGATTCCGGGGGTGCTCAAGCCAAGAGAATCCGCCAGAAAGTGCTTGTAAGAGAACAGCTTTTAAGCAAAACAGCATTAAAACGTTCCCTATGGAAACCTGTTGACCCTCTCGTTTGGACAAGCTGGCAAGACCCCACAGGTGAGGGTCACATCTCACTGGACGCGGTCCTCGTTGTAGTACGTCTGGGAGGCTCTCCCACCTCGCAATACTCCAGGATTCACAGGGCGGCCCACCATACAGCCCTGCAACGAACCCTCCTCGTATCAGATCATACCACAATTTCTGTTGCTGCTCTTGAGACAGGTCGCATCGAGCAGGGTCGATGGCAACATCGACGGAAACTACCGTCATCACCACACCAGGTGGTAATGGCAGACGCTCAAGCTCCATTTGAATGTCTCGCTCTCTTCGACGTCCACTGAAGAGGTGCAGGATGATCAATTCAGTGGGCAGAAAGCTACGCAGCTTGGGATCTGCAGGTCGGCATTGAACATGTCGCCTGCTAGCCTCGTCCATGAAAGGACTTTCGTCCTCAACATTATGGGACAAAAGGGCTGTTCGTCCAAGGTTGATCAACCAACTCTGAACTGCACATCCAGCTTGGTAAATCCTCGCATCTGTCAGTTCAAAATCTTGCACCCATGTATGAAGACTCATTCACAGAGTTGTGAAGGGCACCGCAACTCTGCATGCTTCTTGGAGTGTATAAGTCAGTTGATCTACAAAGTCGTCTTCTTGTTCTGGGCATAAGAAGGTGTGGATCGCTTCTTGAAGAAGAGCCCTAACTTTCTCCGCATCCCTGTTGGGTTGATTCGGTCCTTCAAAAGCGTCTTGCTGAAGTCGATACCATGGAAACTGAGGACGCTTAGACCATGGCTTCTCTGATGCAGGAAGCACATCTCAGTTCCGCTGGAAAAAGGCTCGACATGAGGCACTATATCGAAGGTGATGCCTCAAGCGCTCCTGGGATAGGTAAACCTTCGCACAACAATGGCATGTTTGCCCTTGCACTGCCTCGCTTGATTCACTTACATAGTTATGTTTCTGAGAGGCGTGTAGGAACCATCCTTGTGGGGCAGAAAACGCCCTTTCGCAAATCACACAAAAATGCTGTCCATGCCGTGGTTGCTCTGAAGACACAGTGAGTCCATTGCTCTCCAGAATCTCATGAATGTGCTTGTGTGCTTTGACTGTGGCAGCATTTCTCAGTCTTGCTTGCGTTGCTCTGTATAGAGCTGTACGGCCGTATCGTGCCCATTGAGCTGGTTGTGCTGCCAAGCGTCTCCACGCCTCACCTTCTGAAACATCACGAACTGAAGAGTCTCTATCAACTAATGTATGTGCCCATTTCAATGCTTCACAATATATGCGCATTGCGCTAGAGTCATCCGCAACAAGTGACCACAGGATGTCAGGCGCAGTGCGCAGAAGGGCACCAAAATACCTAAATCGTGCGATCTGTAGCAGATCTTCTGGGTCATCACATCCTAAGTAACATCGGATGTCATCACGCGAAGGAGCAATGAAATTTCGTGGCATCATCAAAGAATATAGGTTCCAGAGCGAAGTGTTCCATGCTTGACCTTCTCGGTGGTTCAGCTCAGTCCACGCTCCAGAACCCCATGTCATAATTGACATCACTGTTGACGGAAAGATGACCATTCTTGTCTCCAAAGGAACCCTGCGCTGTCTGAAGACATGCTTCGCAGCCCTCCAGAACGCTGATCGAGCCTTTGAAAAACGAGTTCGAATTTCCGGAAGCAAGCTTCCATTGGCATCAATAATCCCTCCTAGATGGCGGTATTTGGGGACCAATGGAAGCTTAATGCAGTCGTCCTCGAGCAAGACTGGAAAAGTCGCATTTGTGGCAGCAAAAAGTCTTCGGCGAATAGAGACTGCGCCCGGTCCCCGCGGTGACACTACTGCTGCAGTTTTGGTTTCACCAATCGACACCTTCATGCCATACTTCTGAAGCTTCTGTAGCAGAATGTGTGCAATTAGTGCCAAACGACTTTCGATTTGACTCGCATGCTCAAACTCAGCAAGGACAGCTAAATCATCCGCCCATGTGACTTGGAACATAGGAAGCACCTCCTCTGTTATCGGACTGAAATACGGGTCTCTCTCTTGACGAAGTGGCATGTAAAGCAGGAGCCCTTGGTCTTTGAGCTCTTGCTGAACCTCCGTGAGCACTTGCGAAAAAACCAAGTTGAAAACGATATCGGCCAACGAGTCACCGGGCCTGGTGCCTCGGAATGTTTGCACAAATTCACTACCTGTATATGTGAAATATGTGCCTTCCAGTGTTTCTTGCAACACCTGGTGCTGCACAGGTCCAGCTCCGAGCTCCTGATATGCACATTTTTTGGTCGTGCTGTCATGGATGAGGGACATGGACTCAGGGCCTAAGCTCATCCTATGCAAAACCAGCGCAAGATCATCGTCAGTCAAGCTAGCTCCTGTCGCGATCTGTCGCAACACACGGTAGTAGGCCGATTGGACAGCGCAGAAAAGGATCGCCGTACTCTTTTGCCGCCGTTTCCCTCGGTCTACAAACAAACGAGACACTTGGGTGCCAAAGAGGACTTGTTGCATTGGTTTACCTCCAAGTTGGAGGTCATCGGTGGCAGCGAGATAAGGCTCATTGAGCCGGTCCCGAATGGTCGATCTGACAGCTTTACCAAGCACAGAGGTCAAAAGAATGCCTCTGTGGTTCTGGCAGTCTGATTGTGACCCTTTGCCTTTGAAAAGGGAGATGATCTGTCCCCCTTTCCATTGCAATGGCTCTTCGAGTCGAAAAATCATCTTCAAAATAATCGGAAAGAGCACACCTGCCGCATCTCCTGGACATGCTTTCAAGAGTTCATTGGGCAGTCGATCGGGCCCGGGTGCTTTCCTGTATCTCATTTTGCGTATGGCTTTCTCGAGATCGATGCGACTTGGCAAGTCATCTGAAGTGTACTTGCCCGGTTTGCATCGGTCTTGCTGTCTTTGCAACATGTTGGACATGTAGTCAGGAACCTGTACCTCCCTACCAGCTTCTAGTTGGGAAAAGTGCCTGACCCATCCGTCCAGTGATTGCAAAATCCGGCCTTCCTCATCCTGCAAAAAAAGGCAAGGGCTGCGGCAACATTTTCTGCTTTTTCGCTGGCTGAAGTATTGGTCGCAAAGCAGCAAAACCTCACTTGGTTTCGCGTTTTTAGCATCCTCCGCAACTCCAAGCAAAAAGTGTTTGCGATCATTTCTCAGTTGTTTGCGAAATTGCAGTGAAGCAGATTTGAGCTCTCGCGCATGCCGTGCCATTGCATGAGATATCAACTTGTTCCAGGTGCTATCAAGATCACTAATTCCTTTCCCTTTTCTCCAGGCATTCCATGCTCGAAACGTAACGACGCACAAAGAAAAGTCGTCGTGTTTCTTCAAGGTCCTGAGGGTTCGGCGAAGGGATGTGACTTTCCGATGCAATTCACGGCTCTGGTCGGAGACATGCTCTCTATATTGCTTACCCCATTTCTTGGGAAAGTATCGGATAGCCTCCCTTTGGAGGTGATCCGTGATCAAGGCAGCATGCTGTGATGCGTTCATTCCCCAATCCGGTTCCGGACATGATGCCCAGATGGCACGAACTGTGTCCTGGTTCTTTGGATCTCTCACAGCTGCTTCATCAATTCTTCTCTCTTTGTGTCTGCGCAAAGCCATTTGGTTCCAAAAAATGCCCACACACGTGCATTCATGATCCAGGCCTGCGTGTCCAGCATGGAT